ATTATGTTAAGGAAATTAGTCTAGGGCTAATAAAATTGGACTTTCAACCGGCTTGGAAAAGAATCAGTCCGGCTTTGAATATCTGGATGTGCAATAGATTACGGCATTGTTGCAAAATTAATTCCGTACTTTCGTTGCCGTCCTGGAAACTTGGGGCTACTGTGGACTAGCAAACTAACTGCCCAATTAAGAATCGCTAGCCGTTAAAAATTGAAAGGAGCGAGCGGTGTGCAGCTCGATTTGCATATTATTTCATTGGAGTTGTTAGCATAATTTGAGATGAAAGCATAGCTCTTGCTTGGTTTAGCTCTAATTAGATTCTACTTTTATGCAACTGGCAACTTTTCCAGCCGTTCTGGCCAGTGCTGCATCGCCTAGTGGTCAGCTTGATGGCGATTTTGACGTTCATTTCGTTTTACCGTATCAAAATCCACAATAATTTCGTTGAGAAGCCGCAAGCATTCGACACCTTCATTGTTCGCATCAAGTTCCATGTAGAACTTGTCAAAATCGGTTATTGTAATGAAAACAATGGCTGCATTATCTCGACCTTCCGAATACAGTTCTGTCCTATAAATGCATTTTCTCACGGTTCAGAAGAATGTTGAAAGATAATTTCGAGTTTTGATTTCGTGCATAGTCAGATATTTATGATTAAAAACTGCAAAAGTGTGTTTTTCCTAGCTCTTGAATTATGAATGTCTGTTGAATCTTGAGTTAGGGTCAAAGATTCCAAAGGCCAGAGGATATGAAGCAGCATGCAAGTAGATTTAGTTTCAAAGATAAGCATATGGTGCCCGGAAAAATCACGAAAAGCCGGTCAAGAATTCGCCACGAAAAAAGTGGAAACTGTCCTTCCGAGATAGAGAAGAAAAGAAAGATGTATCCCACCTCCAAAAGCAGATACACAGTAGATGTGCTGCCAAGCTAGATCTGGAACACAACAACCGGTAGTACAGTGGTAACATGTTGCATCCAGATGCGATGAGGGGTGGTTCGATTCCTTCCCAGCCCAGAACAATTTTCGAGAAAGAGCTCCATCCACGAAATATGGTCACGGAATTTTTTACAAGAGTTTAGCTTCCCAGTTCTTGCATTTTCAGAGTAAAAATATATTTCTTGACATTGTCCAGATCAAAACTTCTTGATATTGTTTTCTTATCCTAATGAGGCATAAAAGCACAAAATGCCGAACAATTTAAAAGTTCCCTCATACGTAATGTAATTGTTATAAACTCTGCTCTTCGGCTTTTCTGCGTTGCGCACTTTTTCGCTTAAGTTTTTGAGGGGAATATCTACGTTTCAAAATTAGTTTAAGTGACCTTTGAAGAGGATTTTCTTTGAGGAAATGCTCAGCAACATGCGCTGGCAGGATATTCTCGAGGACGGCTCGATTTTGTGAATGCTTCTTCTCCATTTCACGACCCTCATCCAGTGCCTTGAAAATTCAGCCGTCTTCAGCAATAAGTCTTTCCTTTTCACTGCGCATTTCAAAAACGCTATTTGATTACATAGTGCTATTTTGACAGAATGGTGCTTTATTTTGTGTAAATGAGATATCATTTTGACTGGACCGAGTTTCAACTTGAACGGTAATTACTGATGAAAACAGTATATGCTCTTTGTCGAAATTTGGGGACTTTATTAAATTCGAAAGCTCATTTGACTAAAAGCTTTCCAGACGTTTCATAGTTTGCGTTTAAAACGTCAAAACAAAAGTCAGATTACCTGGAGTTTCCAGATAAAATCGAAACGTGCAATGAGCTCCGATCTGCGGCTCTGGATTACTGTCAGAACAAACGCGAATAGGATTACAAACGTGAAGAAAATTCGCAAATCGCTGAGTGGATTCACTAAGCTATAATTTCAGTATATTTAGAAAGTTTTAACACATTTATAAGGTCCTAGCCACAGTTGTGCAATCCAGGATCAAAGGACTTGGCATGGATGCGCGCGGTCTGTGGAAGCACCCTGGTAACATCACTAAAATACGATATCCCTCTTGATAAACCGAGCGGTCCTGGTATTCTCGGCAGAAGTCTATAACGCTTGCCAAATAGCATGAATTATACTAGAATCCTGTCGCGGAAGCCTCTGCAAAAAATTTATGATTATACCCTGTGGTATTGCGAAAATCTTGAACGACTTAGATATTTTTTGAAAATCCCTCGTAAGCGTATCAGTACAATGAAATTACTGAACAGGTTGATTGTCACATTACACACGCGTTAGATGGAAGAGAATTGGAAATCCAGAATGTACCAGTTTACTTGGAAACTTATAAAGTCTGAAATAGAAACTTCGTCTACCTGCAGAGCAATTCCATCCGATCAACAAACGGTATATTCTCATCAGGCACATTCCGAACGTCCCAATATCCAACCGGTTGACTGGTATAACCTGGGAAAGCCGTGATCCAGAGCATTATCAATGCAACTAAGCACAGCATCAACGAGAGTAGTATTTTTTCCAGCGCAAGAAACGAATTGAATACACAAACCGATAGCAGTATCAACAGAACACTCTGAAATCAATCGGGAAAAAATAATTTTGTAGCAGTTCTAAGTTTAATTGAGGAAGATTTTCCCTCAAAAAATTGTGAGTTGAAGAACAAGCACTGGCTGTGATGGAAGAAGTAAGGAGAAAACTACTTTGCTTGTTTTGACGTGAATATATATACAGTTCGATTCTCCGCAGACGAGCAGCTTGCTGCGTATCACCGATCATGCGAGAAGTTAAAATCCGATGGGCAGGGCATGTTTCATGCCTTGCTGACAAGTGCTGGACTTTTCATGTGGTACCCACGAAAAAGCAAACGATCAGTCTGACGAGGTGGTGCACGAACATCGAAAAAGCTGTAGATACGAACTGAAGGAAAGCAGTGCAGGATCGAAAGCACGAGCATGCCAGATGTTCTGAGAGCATTCCGGTAACACCACACTGTTTGACCGGCTGGTTTTAGCATTTTTAGTAGACTTTTTATTATAAAACATGTCTCTCAATAAATTAACTAACATCTAAATAATATACGACTACGTAAGCAGTGAAAATAAAATAGATTAAACAACCTCAAAATAAATAGGACGATTGATCGTAGGATCGCATGGTTCCGCTATAATTTTTGTTGAATTAATACAGTGATAAGCGCATTCTGAAGACTGCCACTGTAAAATTTACAATCATTTTTTTCACAAAAATTGTTAATAATGCAGATTTTCAAAAATTTTTTTTTGAAAGCAACGACATAAACGCTGTACACAAAAGTGTAGTACTCACAATGATCCGATGGAAGAAAAAACAAATAGCCGACGAGAGGAGCACAAATACAGCGAGAAACCTCAGGAAACTGTTTTTATATGTTTTATTTCGACAACAACGCTGAAAAATAATTGCAGCATTTATTCCCTCAGCAATAAAAAGTTTTAGCACATAAGATATTGGTGGAAGTCATCTGTGTAAATTTAAGAAGTCTTTTGACTGTCCAGCATCTACCAAAAGAGTCAGCGAAATCGCTAGTGCGTAATGGGTCAACTTGGTACTTGAGAGACCCTGAGTGACCACATTTTCTCTTCTGTAATTTGTCATTCACCAAAACACTGGCATAATGGTTTTCCCATAATAATTTTTAAAGCACGGCAAGGCACAGTAGTTGGTAGCGCTGCCCTCATGCTTGAAAGTCGAAGATTTCAGCCGTTAGGGTAAAACCAATCCCTCTACGCTAAGTTTACTCGTTTGGATGATAAACTACTATTGCCACATATCAGGAAGTCAAACTCGCCATCAGATTCGCTTGCTTTTTTTTATGC